ATAATTAAAAATAACAATCAGTAAAATAAATAGCAAATAGAGATTTAATTATTAATATTGCATTGTTTACCAACCGTGCTCAACGGCACGGGCATTCACTAGTTATATATATGGGAAAGTTACACAATCTTACTGTTATTACCTGTGGCATTTTTTATATCCATCTGATTTTTTTTTGCTTCTGAAATGCGTCTCCCAGACTTTCTTTCAAAATGGTGTATTCACTTCCGAAGTAAGTATTGAAGTTTATATACTGTTTTTCCTTAACATAAGCCACTTATGACTTTGATAATTGCACAAAGGATTGTCGGGACGATACAGACGTCAACTATTGCCTCCCGAATTTGGTCCATCTTCAAACACACAAACGTTGGGGGAGATCTTAGGTACGAGTCGTGTGGAATCTTTACATTAAATTAACCATTAATTCCTATATACCAATATTCTTCGTTTTATTCTTATTGGCGCACATAATTTTTTATAGAACGCACGCCTCCGCAAGATTTGCAAAGGGAAGTAGGCAAATATATTCTCCGCAAAAATCGGAATCTCTACAAAAGACTGCGGGACAAGTGAAGATAACGGTGGATCCTTCCAAAAATTATTCCGTGAAGTGCACAAATGAGCCAAAATACGTTGATATTCGAAATGCATAAGGAAATGATGGAAACCGATGGACAGAAACAGTATATTCGTGACATGGGTTTGCTTGAATCCGCTTTACATAGACCAAAGTAGATGTTTTATTATTGAGAATCTCAATCGACTCCATCATTGTTTAAAATGGCTGCCACCCTTGGAGAGAGTATCATTAAAAATCATGCATTTTTGGATGGAAATAAGAGAGCTGGCCATCTTGCCATTTCGATGTTTTTAGCTATAAACGGTTACGATCTGGATGCGGATGATGAATCACCGAGAAAATTACGATAGATGTTGCAACAGGTGATATTAACATAGATATTTTGGAATCTTGGATTGCTAGTAATGTGAAAAAGATAGAGTAGGTATTCATACTGGTTTCTATAGCCAACTACAATTATTAAAATCAGTCTAGCTTACATAAAATATCGGATCTATTAAACCCCCCCCCCCCCCCCCCCGAACTAAAATCTTCTTATGATTTACTTACTGAATTAAACTCTAACACCAAATACTAATCAGAAAAATAAATGCTTAAAAAAACCCGACAATTATTCCCTAAATCATTGATGGGTCTTATTAAATAAAAATAAAACTTTAAATGTTTTTACATGTGCACAATTTTTTAGTAGCATAATAAAACTACATGCGAGTTATTTTGATTTATTTTCATAATGACAATTACATGGATGCACATTGCTACAATTCCCGAAGATGCTCCAGGATAACTATATGTGGGTCTTCGTAATACCAAACATATCTTAGGACGATCCAGTTTTCTTCACACAATTCTTTCTTGAGTTGATCCCGTGCTTGCTGTTTGATAAAATTATTGGGATCTCCTCTGTGAAAGAATTCAATATATTTTTCATGTTGCTCACCTTGTACTTCTATCGCAAATCCATATTCTGGATAATAAATATCTAGTTCTAATCCAAGATGATGATCAGGTGTTTTTAAAGAAATCTGGTCGACGAATATTAGAAGGAGGTTGTTCTAAATACTTTGTGCCAATTTCTCGACATAATTGTTCGCGTTTATATTTATAACAAAATGGACACCAGGTACCACTTTTCACATTACCAAGAGATGCTTGCCATAAATGGCCTTCTTTGCAACACCATGATAATGGCAATTGATTATTTTTATACCCGGTTGAAAGGCATTGCCCATGTTTAGATAATGCAATTTGCTTCGCATCATCAAGAGTTAATTTCATACTACCTGCGCAATACGGACACCAACTTCCTTGTTGAATACTATTGGGAATAGCTTCCCATCTATGATTATTTTCGCAAATCCACTCTAATTTTGATTGTGAATCATAGTATCGATCTGAGAGACAATTCCCATTTTTATTTTTGCAAGTTTATGCATATCCTCTATTGACTTATATCGACCAATACAAAATGGACACCACTGTCCTCTATTTTTAATGTGATTAAGATTATTTTGCCATTGATGATTGAATTGGCATCTCCAGGTAAGTGTATCATTTATATTTTTATACTCAGTTGAAAGACATTCCCCATGTCTAGATAATGCAATTTGTTTCGCGTCCTCAAGAGTTAATTTTATATTACCTGCGCAAAATGGACACCATGTTCCAGAATATTTAATGTTATGGAACGGGCTATTCCAAATATGACCTTGATGACATTTCCATGACATCGGAGTATCAGAATTTTTATATACGGTTGAAAGACATTTGCCATTTCGACTAAGTGCAATTTGCTTGGCATCTTCAAGAGTAAGATGGGCATTACCTGCGCAATATGGGCACCACTTACCACTTTTCACATTACCAAGAGATGCACGCCATAAATGATTTTCTCTGCAACGCCACAATAATGGCAATTGATTATTTTTATACTCAGTTGAAAGACATTCTCCATATTTAGATAATGCAATTTCTTTGATATTTTCAAGAGTTAGTTTTACTATACCTGCGCAATATGCACACCACGATCCAGAATTTTTAACCCTACGAGGTGGGGCACTCCATGTATGATCCTTAGAACAACGCCATACTAATGGGGTTTTATTATCTTTGTATTCGGTTGAAAGACATCTTCCACCACGAGAATTGGCAATAACACAAGCATCGTTTAGTGATAGTTTTGGAGACATTAAGAAGAAATATTTTTTATTATTTGAAATCTTATTCTATTCATTTAATTTCAAAGGAGTATCCTAACCAAGGCGTATACTTAAAGGATCATCAGTTGGTTTAGTGAAATCAAAAACTATAAAATTTCGATTTCGCAAATGCTTATCAATAATCTTGGATGCTTTTTTTGGATCATTCACAAATTAACGTAGGATACGAACAAGATCTTCTCGGCTCCCCCCATTATTAAATAATACAAGATGGCTTAAATTCTCACGAATGATTTTAGGTGTTTGTGTGTATTTCTGGCTTACATATATGGGTGAGATATTTTGATGCCGACCACTAATAAAATAAGGAATAATTCATTCTTGCATCTTTTTCGATTCAGCACATAGATCCTCAAATACAACAACTGTACTTCATTCTGAAGAGAATTTAGTTATATTTTGATTTTATCTGGAGATATCCTTTTAAATGTGACATTTTCTTGATATAGTTTATATAAGTTATCATTTTGGCTTAAAATACTTGTCTATTAATATGAGATCATCATTTTTGATATAATGATTTTCTTTCTTATCTTTAAATATTCATTGTAATTTATTACTTAGCATAAGATTAATAATCATATTTGTTTTTTTTGCTATTGGATTCTTCACATACCAGTAATCTAAATGGATCCTCTGGTAAATACTTATTATCTTTTATTCATTCTGAAGATTTATTAGATGTCTCATCTATATTATATACAAATATGAGTATTTTTTCTTCTTTCATTTCAAATAAATCAATAATATTAATTTAATATATTGAAAAATTTATATTATAAGTTTTTACTTTCAAAGAAAAGAGTTTTACTTCTCATTATATATTAAATAATCTCTTTCTTCTAATATATACTTAATATAAAAAAATAAATCTGAGTTAAATAATACTAATATAAGATCTATATCTTGCTCTTTACATATATCTCACTTTTTTTAGTTATATAATCTTTATGAATCTAGATCAGACTTGCTATTAAGATGAAAATATTTTAGAATAATATTAAAATATTAAATATTCTGAAATTTAAATATTAATTTTAATTCTTTATTATACCTATCTAATTATATTCCATTTAAAAATAATGATTTATAAGATAAAATTTCTTATCTAATAGATCTTTAAAAATATATCTATAATGATACTCATTAGTATAATAGAAATAAAGTAAATATCATTTAAATTTCATAGTTATTAATGGATATGAATATTTCTACTAATGCTTTTTATTTTTACAAAACCAGAAATATATATTAAAATTATTTATTTGATCAGTTTTATTAAGATATTTTCTATCAATATATGCAATAGCTTTAGTCATTTTACTAATAATACAAATAAAATTAACAAATCTGAAATAAATATTTTTCTCTAATATATTCTAAGATGAATATTGAAGTTTTTTGAGATTAATTAGTATTAATTTTTCATATATAAACCTATATATTGATGCAAATTCTCTATTTAAATAATATAAAATTAGTTTATTTTTTGTTATCATAATTTTGCAGATTTTATATAAAGAAGAGCTTTAAATTTTATCTATTACATATTTTTAATATCTCATACTCTCTTCTCATTTTATATTAGCAAGTAAGTAATGAATAATATTTCTTTTTTTAATTTTTTTTTATCTTTATCAACTAAATATTTATATTTTATAAATGATTTAAACTTTATCCTATCTAATCTAATTATTTTTCACAGATACTAATTCTTATTTTTTTGATTTTGGTACTTATATAAGTTATATTAGATAATTATTTGAATATTCAAGAACTTTTGATAAATACTTAATTTATATTTTTATTAATTTAGAATCTTTGAATATAGTTTTAATGGCAGATTGAATTTTATATAATATCTCTATTAATATCTTATAAAATTTATCTATGATTATAAAGATCTTAATGAGAATATAAGCCTATAACTCAGATTATAACGTTATATGATTCTATTATTTTTGAAGTTTTATTTATAAATTCTTTATCATCATCATATTATAATAAATTAAACTAGATAAAAAAGATATTTGAATTATTATAAATTTTCTTAAATACTTTGATAATTTCTGAATTGTTCTTTAATATTAATAGAATAATCTATTTAAAATGAGATATGATATCTATAATAGTAAGTACTTATTTATATATCTTTTTATTAATAATATTATTTATAAGATATAATAAGTCATACATATATATATAATTTGGATATGAAATTTTTTTATAACTAACCTATAGAATATCTTTTAATGATGAAATATATTTTTATTATTTATTCTAATTATATAATTATTTATAAACTTTTTTATATGAAAAATTATATTCTTTATCTCTGATAATATTATACAACTTTTAAAAATTAGAATAATAATTAGTAGATTAATAAAAAAGTAATTTACATATTAAGTTTAACTTTTTATCTAAATCAATTCTAATAATAGACTTGCTTAATTTACTTATTTTTAATATTACTTATTATAATAAAATTATATTTAATAAAGTCAAGAGATAAGTTAATATAATATGTCATAAAAAATAACTATAACATTTCATAAATTCCAACTTTCTAATCAAATAACTCATAAATTATTTATGAATAAAGAACTTGAGCTAAAATAAATTAATCAAGAACTTTAAAAAATATTATAATCAAAGATAATCATTAATAAATCAAATAAAAAATATATAAAGAATTTGAAGTATAAATATATCAAATATAAGAAAGAAATTCAATCTCTCAATAAAGAATTGAAATAGCTCAAGAATACTTTAAAAAAAGAAAAAATAAAGTTAAGATTAGAGATATCATTTCTTAAAAAAAAGCTTATACCAAGTCACAAAAGAGATTAAATTCTATAATGCTAATTTGAAATAATAGTTACAAGAATATTATAAGAAAATGAAAAATCTAAGATATAAATTTAAAGTTATTTCTTCTCAAAAAAGCTTTTTAAGTTTATATAATTCAGAAAAGAAAAATATAAATATGATGAATCTTGATCTTTTTATATAAATTAACTGAGACTTGAATCATATTGAAAATTATCTTAGAGATACTAGAATATTATTAAATAATTCTATAAATATTATAAATAATATTAAAGATTTCTTAAATATTATTTATCTTA